TTCATGTACAGAAGGAGCACAGAAAAGGGGACTCTCACTGAAAGGGGACACGGAGGACTTTTCATTGGAAAAGGAAGCCCAACAGAATTCAGATCCAAAAGAAACAAATTATACTTTAAAACTGCATGGCTGAGAGAGTAACTTGTCAAGGAAACAAGAAGGGGCATGGTGCAACTCGAACAGTAGCCAACCAAGAGGCCTCCTACCAACCTCAAAGAGCACTGGATAAGGCTTTTGTTTTGGTACGAATGTAGCTGTACTGCTTGGCTTGTTTGATAAGTAAGCATTGCAAAACTGCATGAAAGCTTTGAAATAGCACTTGTCTTAGAGAGCCTCACAAGCTCTCAGCTTCTGCTCAACTCTTTTACAGTGTTGCTTTCTGAAAAACCGTAGTAGTAAAAGAGACTTTGTGGAAATGTAGCAGTGCAAAACAATACTTGAAATTCATCTTCAGTGTAAACTTAGTGTAGGTGAAGACAAGAAACAACGATGGCAGGAGATGGCAGAGTCTGAAGGAGTCAAATCCTGCCTCCTCTTAGACTCTGCTATCCAGGGTGAAGAAAGTACTTCAACCAATTGGCTTACAGTGATAGAAAGGAATGCTGATTTTTTGTTCTGAAGATGAGTTGTTTTGTTTGTTTATTTTTTCAAGGTTCATCTCATTTAGATGTTGTGGATTCTGGAGGGATGCTTACTGTAATATGAAAAGCCAACAGGCATCAGTGATGTAGCTGCTTGGGGCTAGCAGACAACATATGTGTCAGTTGGGAGACTCTCATTCATGCTACAGCTGCAGAAAATCTGGTTTATTTCAAATAGCACCAGACCTACACGGGTAGAAAGGCATCTTTAGGTGATCTGATTTAGCTCTGGATTATGAAATGTGAAGAACTGTTTACATGTATGCTATTTGTCAATCTCCCATACTAATCAGCAAATGGATTCTGGGTCTTGAATAGATTGGAGACAGACCTATTATCTCTGAGCTCTGGATTACTGACTCAAAAGAGTGCTTTGACACATTACTTTCATGTGTTCAGCTATAAGCAGACACAGGCATTTCCTAACCAGAGATGCCTAGGGTTGTTTTAGATACTAGGAGGATGTTCCCCAGTCCCAGCTGGCACCTCTGAAAGGAATGCATTTCTCGTAAGCCTTGTGCAGATGCATCTACTGGAGCTGCAAGGGTAGTTCAAGATTCCTTTATATAGGCCAATACTGGTATATGTAGCTAGCCTATTGCCAGGATCGTCCTCTCTCTCTATGATCAGTAGAGAGAAAGATGCACCTCTGGAGCCTGATCTTTCATCTTTAAGTGTGAGACTCCTGCTGTCCTCGCTTAATGACAAGCGTGGAACAATTAACCTGTGAAAACAAATGCCAACCAAAACAAAAGGAAAAGACTCAAAGACAGCCTTCAACTTCTTGGTGGCCTATGCTTAGCAAAATCACTGGCAGATTTCAGTGTGTGAAGATTCACATCCCCCCTCCCCTCAGTCTAGCAAAACCACATTCCGCAAATTGTTCCTCACCAAATGTACAATCAGGTAAATGCTAATGTAGGCGAATGTCATTATTTTAATGTTTTGGCCTACACTATGAAAACCTAAGTATTGATAAATGGGATGGGTTGAGTCTGGAAAGACAGAGTTAAAATAGAAGAGATGATGGTTTTCTTTTTCTTTTTTTTTTTTTTTTTGTCATCTATTTTAACATAACTAATTGTTAGGGGAGTCTTGTGGTTGAAGTTAATCTTAGCATAGCTCTAAATAGCGCTTTTTTTTTTTTTAAACTACTTTCACCCAAATGGGTTTAGTTAGTCTGAGTTGACAGCCTGTCTCCTGATTGGCTTAGTCTTCATTGTAGTGCCATGACAAGAAAAAGGGGGGGTGGGGGAGGAGGGGGTATGCATGTTAAAAAAATACACTTGTCCTTTCTCCAGTAAGTAAATAAGGACAGTGGAAAAACTTACTGCAGATTACACTGCTGGCTATTTGGACTAATGCCTTATTTCTAATAGAGAAATGAGACTCAACTTTCAGAGGTCCTTAAATGCTTTGTAGTACTTAAAACATCTCACAGCAAAGCAGATGCACAAAGTGTGGCTATTATTGGCTAAGTCATTTCTGGGAAATAGGAATTTGCAGTGCCTAAATCTGTATCTCGGTATTTGGTAGCCTAAAAATACCTAGGAAAAAATAATTTTCAGAGGTTAGAGAGTTCTAGAAGAAAAAAAGGGTTTTGGGATCCTTCTGATTTCCCCTTATATTCTCTGAGGCTTTTCTTGTGGAATAGTTTCTGTTCTTTTCCCTAACAGAAACCCTTCAAAAACCTCTAGTGCTCTTTGGTTTTATATTAAAATAAGTCCTGACATTGTATACATACAAAGTATTTTTCTTGATGTTTACTGAAAGCTGTTACTTAGGATGGTAGTAAAAGAAAATAGGGAAGAAACCCCCCCACCACCTTTGGATTAAAGCCCTTTTAATAAAAATAGCATGAGCGGTTTGCAATTTGGGGGGGAGGGGGGGAGGAGTCATTTAATTTGAACTGTGAAAAATGAAGGCAGTCTTAACATTGGGAGATTTTTGAAAAATCATATTTATTTTCTATAATTTTAATTGTCACTAACTTTTACTAAAGTAAACCAATGATGCCTTCACTATAGAAAGCACTGCAATAAAATAAAGAAACAAATTAAATAAATAGCGGAAGGGTTTATCTTACCTTGTTGCCTATTTAGTTTTTTTTGTTTGTGTGGTTTTTTTGTTTGTTTGTTTGTTTTTTTTTTTTTAGTTAGAGCATCAACAACCTGATTTAAAAGCAGGATCTTATATGCATGCCTCTACAGAAGTGTTCTTTTATCCAGCTCTGTAGCATATAAACATTCACACTCACTACATCCATGGGTACAGATGCATGTGTTTCTTTATACTTGAGCATGCATTTATGTATGTGCAGTTCTTTTTCTTTACAGAAGTACACTGATGTACTTTCAAGAAGTTTTACCAGTCTGGACTATAATGAACTAGGGAAAGGAAAATAAATCAAGCTGACACGTTGTATTCCTGTTCTGTGCTTGCACATAGCATACCACTTACACCTCTCCCAGAACCAAGCCACTGAAGTTTATCTGAAATGTGTAAAGCAACGCTAGTATCTACATTTGGTGATGGGGACTCGATTCTCCTTGAGAAATTTAAGCGTCTTGCAGAATCCAATTCTGATGGCTGAAAGCAAGCTAGTTACTTCAAAAATGAGAGAACTGTTTCATTGCTTAACATCCCTTCTCCAGGTATTCCGCTGTGTTTTGAACTCTATAGCTGCAATTTGTAGTATTTTCATTCCTATGAACTAATGTGTAGGAAAGCAGAAGGATGGCTTGTGTCTATCAGTCTGAATGGAGAAAGATAGTTTTACAGGATGAGAAAAAAGCACCTGTATGCTTTCCCTTCATTCCTGTTCTGTTCTTCATAAAGCTTATTAAGAACATTAGGTTGTCAGAGTCAGCACACACAGGGGTTGCTCTAAATGAAACGGTTTTAACACAGATGCAGGTGTCTGACAGCAAATTGTAAATACTCTTCAGCAGCCCTGGGAAGAAAATAGGCAAGGTGTGGAAAAACCTCACCTTGGAGGGACTTCTCAATTCCCTAGCGTTACAACATCTATGACTAAAAAGGCTCATACTAAAGCTATGCAGAACAATTAAAATGGGCAGGATTTGAGCCTTCGGTATTGTTCCTAGTCAGGAAGGGACAGAAGGCTTTGATCTTCTCTACTGTTTGTCTTAATTGTAGCATTTGGGATTTTTCTCACAGCTTTCATAGGCTTGATTAAATATTAACCTTTAAGACATAATGTTAAACCTCTGTTCTACAAAGAACTATCACTCAATCTTTCATGCAGTTTTTGCAGGATTTTTTTGAGCACTTGAAATTGTTTCTAATTATTTTTATTTTAATTACTGGTGAATAACATGTAAGATAAAACTATTGCTACTTTTCCTTTTGTGTATTTTATTTGCCTCAGTGGTAACAGTGTTTAACCTCAGCATGTGATAATCCTCCATACGTCATGAACATATGCTGCATTTATAACATTTCAGACAAATATAGTGCACCTAAGTCCTAGCAGCTTCCTAAAACCCTTGGAGATTCAAGCTACTATTTACCATGCTACAGCTAGAGATATGCTAGAGTATGTTGGGTCTACAAAGCCAGCCTTATGAGATGGAGGTGAAAGAGGTGTATGGGAATGATATTTGTTGTTGATACATACATTCTTGGAAAAGAATCAGTAAGCCTAAAAGTTACAGTAAAAGGACAGGAGGTTGGGGGAAGGAGCTTAAAATAAAACTGTCTTTCTTATTTTTTGTTACCTCATACTGGTGACTCAACTGGTATAAATTAATGTGATTGCTGAAATCAATTGAGATATGTCTGTTCGTATCATTTGAGAATTGTTCTTGTTTGTTACGGCTGTTTAAATAAGCCTGTGAAGTAAGTCAGGTGGTTTGGTCTCATTCTTTCCCTCTCTGCTGTCCCAGGATCTGCAGAGCTATGTACTTACATAGTCCAGCTCTATTGTAAGTGTGACGAAATAACTGGTTGAAGTTGGGGGGGACGGACAACACAATGCAACAAACACAAGAGTTTAACAAGAGTTAAAGTAGGGACTTCAGAGCATCCAGGAAGTCACAGCAGAAACTAGGTGAGTGTGTGGACCTAACTTTGTTTAGAGTGGGATAACAGGTCTCTTGAGCCACAGAAGTAAACTGCGATTGCCAGGTTGTTATGCAGAGAATGAGGCACTGCGATTGTTGTCAGTGTTTGTTTTGCAGGGTGATCTTTCCCAAATTTAAAAAAAAAAAAAAAAAAAAAAAAAACATTTAAAAAAAAGGGGGGGGGGGGGGGGAGAAGGGAAGAAGAGTAGGGGGAAGAAAGGAAGGGAGGAAGGAAGTTCAGGGGAGTAAGAGTAAAAAGAAATTGCATTGTCCATCAAATAAAATATTCTCGTTTGCACTCGCTCACTGTGTTCTGCAAGTCAATGTCAGCTTTAAAAGAGCTCTCAAGATTTTCTGGGTATTCCTTCTCCTTTGTTTGGCTACTTCGATGTGCCTGTTTGTGCTGATAGAGGAATCTGCTCATGATGGCGATGATGCAAAAGATGATGAATATCACAACTGCTATTACACCTGAGGAGAGGTTAAAAAAAAAAAAAAAAGGGTAGAAAGGGTAAAATGCAGAAATAAAGACTCAATTATGTAAAAAATACATTACTGGTGCATTTCAGTTTTGACTATATGATAGAACAATGAATCTTAGTCTGTACTCAGTCTTCTGTCTCTGTTGTGCTCTTCTTCATTAGCTGTATTTGGATTTTTATCTACTTAGGTGACATGGACAGTGAGCACTGATATAATTGACCTTCTGATTTGGATCAACTTCTGACTTCACTAGAAGCAAAGTTGGATCAGTGTTTGTTTATAAAAACAAAACTAGATACGTATGCTCAAACAAATCCCTGCTCTGTCATATTTTCTCCTTTCAGAGATAACATAGTTGGCATGAGCCTTGTATAATTAGGTTTATAGCTTCTAGATTATTATTGAAGGCAGCTCCCTACAGGGCATCCTATAAAATAAACAGAGATAAATTGCCTTCCTGGTTGTTAAAGGAAGATGAAAACCCTACATAAAGCTATAAAGACAACTTTCCTTATACAGATGCTTCCATACAATCTAGCAAGCTCTTCCATAACACCAACTCACAGAGTGCTCAAGGAGTAGAGGATGTGTGAGTAAGGTGTTGAGGCTCTCATCGGTGTGGTGCGCAAAGCAGTTACTGGTTAATGTGGTGGAGACCCACTATTGCCTTAGTTGAAAGTGTATATTCCTACATAGGTAGCTTAGTTATAGGTATGTACCAAGAAAATAATGGAAGTGCATTAGGTAAAAGTGTTTTATCATTTAACAATTACTTTTCAATTGTAATCGTCAAAAGTTGTTACCTCCAATCACAGCAGAATCACTTCTGACCGCATTGGTGAGAGGCTCTCTTTCGTCTGTCTTCCCAAATGGATCTATTGGTTAAATGGAATAAGATGAATTATTTCTATCAACTATTTCATTTTTTTTTTTTTTATGTGGCTTAGACAGAAGTGTCCTCTTAATCTTGTGAATTGTAACTTTTTTAGGAAGATGTAATTCGGGGTTTTGGAAAATTAAACCAAAAATGTCTCTAAGCTTGCGAGACAAATTTCTCCTACATCTTCACTGATAAAGATGTATTTAAGAAAAAATGGAAAAGCTTACAACTACTCTAACACCTGAAAGTGTTTTCTCAGTGTATCTGTAGTGAAATCACTGATAGAAATTTGAGCTAAATAGCACGTTGGGAGCTTTACTCGTAGTTTTTTTTTTTTTTTTTTTTAAATAATACCTAAGAAAAGATACCAAAAGAAGGGAAAGATGGGAATGCTGTAGCTCTGACCTATATTTGTAGATGAACATATACAAGTCAAATTAAACCTTATAAAGAGGGGAGATAATATTTTCAGTTTACTGTCCGTTTTGTATTTGCGGTGCATGTTTCTGGTGTGCTTCATAGCAGACAATTCAGGCTCCTTTGGATGGAGGGAAGAAAGCTAGTGGTGGGAGTCGGCACATAAGCAGTGCGCTCAGAGTAATCAGCAGCCTCTGATGCAGAAGAACATCATTTGTTTTCTGTTAAATATCTTAATTAGAAGCTGCAGGAAAATGAGATTTGATGCAAGTCCAAATGTAAAAGGAATCATGATAGGATATGAGCTTATAATAGTCCTCAGAAGACAAAGAAGCTTTGGTGGTCAAGGGGCAAAAACCATCTGTTAATTAGTACCCATTTCTGGTTGTTAGGATCCTTGCTGCATCTGCTGCCGACTGAAGTGGCAACTCAATTACCCCTGCCAGTGGTGAGGATGCTCCCAGCTGCTCTGAGTCTCCTTGACTGCATAAAATTCATGTATGTAAAATATTTCAGAGGACGGTCTCAGGATTGAAAGGCATATACAAACTGTTGGAATCACCTTACTGATAACACTCCAGTGCTGTTGCTTCTCTTTTGCCTGAGAGAATCAAGTAGTGATTTTAGTGGATGTCATACATATCTGTCAAGGGGTTTGTACAAAGGTTTTTTTTCCTCCTTTCTGCTAGAGCAGAAACAGATTTGATTGTTATAAGATGCCTATGGCTGATCGCCACTGGGATATGAAATCTGTGTAATGTTTATGCTTTCCTTTGAGATCTGCAGCACTGGAGCTACCTAGAGTGGATGGGAATGGCCAATGAGGCACATAACCATACTTCAGATGCTGTGAATGCTATGACGGGTTTTCTATATTCGCTTTAAAGAAAATGTGGTAAATGTCTTTCTAAAGCGGCACTGGCTAATCTTAATGCCCATTCTTAACACTTTAAATTCTTAGAGAGAAAGTAACTTAGCGGTTCCAGCGTTTATAACATTCTCACAACTGCATTACAGTAAAAATGAAGGGAACATCGCACTCCGGTATTCTTTTAAATTCCTTTTTTCCTTTTGGCAGGACGTACCTGAAGAGGAATATATGGTGGTTGCTGTGTTCACATCTGCTTCCGTTAGGGATGAGCAGCTGGATTCGGTCAAGGAACCCTTGACGGTCACGGGAGCAATGCTGGGATGGCGTAAGGCAGCTTTCAGGGGAGCGATGTGGTTATACCAAACCGAAGACATGCAGCCAGTGAAACCGTAGGCATTTGCTTTTGAGACTTCAGGGTCCAGTGTTAAACTGTCTGCGACACAACAGAAAAACAATCTGGGGATTGTCAGTTTTAGGAAGACAGGTTAAAAAAATTATTAATTATTTTATCGTATTGACTGCTTTATTTCATTTAATCTCAAGTGGTTGTTTAGGTGTTCCCTTAGCTTACTATCAAGATGGCTTGAACAACAGACTGCGTTACATTTCTCTTCTTATCCCTTTCTTCTATTGTTTTGACAGTACGTAACACATAGTGGACGTGAATCGCTACAGTAATAGCAATTAAAAAATAGTAGTAAACAGTAAAAAGAAAAACAATGAACATCACGGAATCGGTGAGATGATCCTTTTCAGCTTTTGGATTACTCTCTATTGTCTATTAAACATCACTTTATCTGGCTCAGTATTAAATAGCTTACTAATATAGGCTTCCACCCTTCTCTGGGTGTCTATTCTTTAACTTACTTTTGCAGTCCACCCAATCATGTCAGTAGCATTGGCATTTGTTATTTTTATAGTCTGAGTTGTTAAGAATCGTCCAAGTTACGAGTTTGGCTGTCATAACAGTCGTTAGCCCTATTGCACTGAGACAAAAAAATTGAAAACTGCACTTCGTTTACTCTACATCCAAAGCCAAACTAGTGCCTCTGTACTCTCCAAAGATGAGATGGTAGAATTAATGCGTGTCTGCATTTACTTAAATTTCACAAACATGAAGTAAGCTCAAAAGCAGGCCTTCTTTATTTGGTTACTTTACTTAATATCAAGCTTGTGAAGGACAGCAAAGCCATCATCCCTTTTCCCCGAAACTTTTATTTACTTGGCAGAAATACGAATTTGTATTGTTAAGAGGTCTACAGAACAAGCACAAGTGGCTTGTTGTTAGTTTTTTTTTTTTTTTTTTTTCCTCTTCTTTTCTCTTTTAATTGACTTTGATACAAGACAAAACCTAGATGTGTTCAAAAACAATATCAGTAGTTCTTCAGAACTGTAGAAACTACCTGCTGTGGAAAGTACTCCAGCACTGAAAACTCTGGACGTAAGTAGTTCCGACAATGCTGGAAAACAAGGATTCTCAGCTTTTCAAGTTTATTTTCATTGCTTGAAAGATAATGATGTTAAATGTTAAAATGGAGTCCAGTTTTTCTACTATCAAACTTGCAGCCAAAGGAATTTAGGAACAAAGTAGGGTGCCTCTTTGATCTTTGAAATTGATTTTGCCACCTGAGTAACAAAGACATCTTTTATGTGTAAAACCATACTAAGCCATCTGAACTTTGGCACTCAGGATCTGTGTCCACAATGTCGTGCAGCCAGAGGGAACAAGAAAAGTCTATTAAGTTAGAAGACTAAATACTCGGATGGATGGATGAACTACTGCTGCCAGAGGAGTTAAGAGGACAATCTCTGGGCTGGGAATGACCGAACAACTGCCAGAGAGATGTGAAGGTAAGTAGTAAGACTTGGACACTGAAAAAACCCTGTAGCATTCAGGTTTGTAATGAGATTCTGGTGGAGGTCCTAAGAAGCAGACAAGGGTCCAAGTTTCTGCATGAAGGTTTATAGAAAATAGTTTTTTTGCAGTACTTGTCATCGTTGTTAAATTAACAAAAACCTTTTTGTTGTATACTGATGTTTTGTGTGTAAACATGAGTACTGTCAGCACTTACTATTTTATTAACTTAGACACAAACAGTGGATGTGTTGGTGTCTTTCAGGCATCAGGCAATCTAAATGGTTCTGTTTTGTCCCAATGTGCAAAAGGTAAAATAAAGTATTGAATTCTTTTTTTTATGGTACTATAGCTTGAAAAGTCTAGGAGTACTGTTGAAGACTTCTTTATAAAAGAAAGTCAATTTATGGGCAAATTACTATAGTCTGTTGTTGAACTATTCTTTGCACGAATGAGAAAGAGGTGATTTGCTAGAAGGTTTTGAAATTAGGGTTTGAAAAAAAACTGACAAAAACTCCAGAGGCTTCTGGTAAAAATTCCATGTATGCAGATAGGGGTTTCTGAGACATCAGGTCTTTAGCTGCAGTCAACAAGAGTCCTATAGGACTTGGAGGCAAATGGTATCAGGTGCTTTATGAATCCTTGTGTGGATAATGTATGTCTGAGATGATAACAGGATGTAACTGTGTTAAGTTAAATGACTTGTGTAGAGAGGAGTGGGATTGTGAGAAAAGTAATTGTGCTTTTGTGGAATTGAACTGTTCATCCCTCAAAACATAGTTCTTTATATTTCTGAGGAAAAAAATTAGTCTTCCTCTTCATTAGGTACACTGTATGCTTGATCAAGAAGTAGGGTACCGGATATGAAATGTACTTGAGAAATAGCTCTGAATGAGGAAAGGACAATGAGAAGGAACTGAAAGTACTTGTTCTCATGTTTTCCCAGGAATGGAAAGAATATTACAGGATTTCCTTGCAAACAGCTGAAAAAAGAGTGCCAAGAGGAAAGATTAGAGATAATGGTTTCATTGGCCTGAGAGAAGATAATTTTGGTCATGCAATTGGTATGGTTTCAAAAAGACAGCTTGTCACAGAAGAAGAAATTTTACCTTGGATTACAGTGTGAAATTAATGACATGAAAGTTTCCAATGTTGGAATTAAAATCAGTCTCAACGTTGCCAGCCCTACATAGCTCTGCATGAGCTCGAAATGTAACATTGAAAGAAAAAAGGAATGGGGAAATAAAACACGGGCCTTGGATTGTGTGAAGCGGTTGTGTTATTGTAGCCTGGTTATTTTCAGTAGAGTAAACTTGCTCCTAAAACACGCTGAAATAGCTGCAAGGATTATGTGTAAAATACTGCACCATGGAACCATGCTGGGCTGTGCAGAGACATCTATGTGAAACACAGATAGCTGGAGAATGTCTGCCTCCAAGTCGGTCTCACAAAAGCTGCCTGACACCAAACCTTCCCAATAAGATCAAAGAGTAAATGGTGGACTACCACGAGCATGGGTGTAAAAGGGTAAGATGACAGGTATCGTCACAGAAGAAAAGTACACGATGCAGAGTGTGGTGGCACAGGAGAGCTCTGAAGAAGAAAAGAAACTCAATAAAAGAAACAGATGGTTTTGGAGTTGGTTTGAATTCATCATCTCATCTCATCATCACCTCACCTCACCTCAATCGTCCACCTCATCTCACCTCACCATCTCATCTCACCTCATCTCAATCTCACCTCACCATCTCAATC